GGAGATTTTGATATTGTGCAAGAGGGAGATTTTGATATTGTGCAAGAGGGAGATTTTGATATTGTGCAAGAGGGAGATTTTGATATTGTGCAAGAGGGAGATTTTGATATTGTGCAAGAGGGAGATTTTGTATTTTAAAAACCATTAATCTTGATAATTTACATAATGAGGATCTTTCTGTTTAGTGTTTTTGTTTGAGAATCGTCAAAATTAAGGGAGACTTTGATCATGTTAAGAAGACCTGGAAAAGCTACGAGGTAGAGACCTTGTCCCAGGCAGTCCGACGATAACGACGTAAAAAGGGGGAAGAGTGGGGGGGGGGGTGTATTTATTATTTAGTGAAATGTCTGTGTTGTTTCTGAGGTAAGCTGGGAGGAGATTGAACGATGCATTGACGAAGTGAGATGCCAGACCCTTGTCGTAAAGGAGTTAAGATCAGCCGATTGTGTAAAGTGAAGTGGGGAGGGGAGATGCCAGTTCCTTGAGGTGGGAGAGATGCGAGTTCCCTAAGGTGTGCACGGGGAAGATGAATGTTTTATACGTGTTTCAATTTACTTTGACCTTTTGTGTGGCATAGTGGACCAAGAAATAATACCTGTGTTTAATTGTGGCCTCCAAACTACTTTCAGCATTTAAATCTTTACTTAGTCAAAATCATGAACACAATCAGAGCAATGGACACAATCAGAGCAATGAACACAATCAGAGGCGTGAACATGAACAGAACCATGAGCACAATCTCAAACTGTTGTGCTTCATATGTGTTGTGCCACTTGTACATCCTTTGGAGACATTGTGATAACATGTGGTCAAACAGAATGTTTTGGTTTGTCAGCGTGTGTTCATATTCTTTAAGGCTGAGATTCATTTATTATTCATAGTGGAAGAGTTATCAGATACATTATTTTTTTAAAGGTTTTATCCGCAATTAACAAACAATTTGTGTATGTTATAAAGTTTTATATAATTAAGTCTTATTCTCTTTAGTATAGAAAAAGAATACTATAGATTGCCAGACAATTTTACAGAGTTAAAACCTGGTCAACAGGACTCCATTAAACTTATGTTTATATTTAGATCTAGATTGTTTACATCATTGAACACCATGCTGTAGCTTGTAAATATGTAGAGATCCCATGAAACAAACATCATGTGGAGATCCCATGAAACAAACATCACGTGGAGATCCCATGAAACAAACATGTGGAGATCCCATGACACAAACATGTTGTGGAGATCCCATGAAACAAACATATTGTGGGGATCCCATGAAAACAAACATATTGTGGAGATCCCATGAAACAAACACATTCAGTACAAATAAGTCAGTAGTAAAACAAAGTACAAATAAGTCAGTAGTAAAACAAAGTACAAATAAGTCAGTACAAATAAGTCAGTAGTAAAACAAAGTACAAGTAAGTCAGCAGTAATACGAAGTACAAATAAGTCAGCAGTAAAACAAAGTACAAATAAGTCAGCAGTAAAACAAAGTACAAATCGGTCAGCAGTAAAACAAAGTACAAATAAGTCAGCAGTAAAACAAAGTACAAATAAGTCAGTAGTAAAACACAAGCCATCAGAACATGAACAAAGAAATGCATGGACTTTTATTGTTACCTTTTTTTTATAATTCTATTTTTGCCATTTATACAAAATAAAAAACATGTAACACATGTTGCTCCTTACATGTTCCATGTCACATAACATATATATGTATATAAACAAATGCATTGTAACAATACCCAATCTATGCCCATGTCCGTCTTCTCTTGCAACAATGTGGTACCACACACACATAACCACATGACTATCACATTCACAAACTCAGCAATCAGTATCCTTAAATTCATGCCAGTCAAATATGAAACTGGTGAAGATCACTCTAAGTAAATACTCTGTCATAAAAAAAAGTTTAAAAATAATCTGTCATATTTCTATAAATTATCTCCAAGGACAATTTAATTTAATTCTAATACAAGACCAAATAGGATTGTGGTCTGAAACTGACATGCACAAGCGGAACTAGAAACACTGTTTAACCTTCCTGTAAATGCATAAGATTTTTATAAAGACTAAATGTTATATCAAACTTTGAATTGAATCAATCACACAATCATTGGACGCTAGGTGTCTCGTATCGCACAGTATTTTCTAACACAATAAATCAGTTTGTCATCCAAAAAATAAAACAATCTTGCATGACAGCATTCCTGAGTCTATTATAATGAGAACAATTTCACACTGATCCACTCAGAGTCTTCCACAACAACTTTATGTGTTCAATTTATGAAACCATTTGCAACTGAAGACAACAAAATATGGATCATAAATTCCTAAAAAAACTCAACACAATATACAATCCATGGTTGAAACACAATAAAACTGAAAACATTTGTAAGAGAATCTAATGAATGAACCAAATAATTTATTTGTTCTTTTATATGTAATAGACTACACTTGTGTTTTAAACTAAATAACCATACACTGAGATTATGTCATGTTCCTTCAGCCAGTTTTGGAGCAAAATTGATTTTTTTAAAAATTTCAGTACAACATGTTGGATAATTTTGAATTGCCAAAAAGTTAGCATCATATTATTTAAATAGTGATACGGTAAAATGCTAAGTTTCATGTACAATAACTGAAATAATCTAAGGAATGTAAAAACAAAGCATAATATAAAACAGCTACAAATAGATTCCTTGATAAAGTTGTCTCAATAAAACATTACATTTATAGTACTCAAAGTTAAAAAAAAAATAATAAAAAAAATAAAAAATAACACAAACATGTAACCACACTCAACATAACTAATATATCAGACCTTAAGTTCAGGAACCAACAATTTTATTCTCAATTCCTTTAAATAATGCTTTGGTGTTGCTATATAAAAAAACAACAACTTTTGACTATCTTTTTTTATTTTAGTACAAAACTAATGTGGGATGATAATTAGAAAATGACACGTACAAATGTATAACTGGATTATAGGTTAATTTTTTACCACTTTAAAGAAAAAATGCAAAAAATTAACCAGCACTTATCATTGAATGTGAATACATTGAGAATATCACTTGCCTAACAAAACATTTTTATCTGATTTGTCAACTTGATGATTTATGATAAATAATACCCAAAATGAAATGTGAATATATATATATGAAAATGCTTTGGTCCCATCATCGTCTTTCTCTGTTATGGCGGCTCGACCTATCCCTTTCCCTGTCTCTCTCCTGGTCCCGTCGATCATAGTCCCTTTCACTCCGATGCTCCCTATCTCTTTCATGATCTCTTCCACGATCTCGTTCTCGTCCCCTGTCGTGGTCCCTCTCACTTCTTCTGTCATCACGATTTCGATGCTTCGAGTTGAGACCATGTGTTGTGCGACGCAAAAAGTCATCCACATCCCTTTCATACTGTGTATTTGTTAGTATCATATTAGATTGTGCACATAGGTATTTTATCTAAGGAGTTGAGGAAATAAACCTGTTCAAAGTTAGCAGACCAACTTCCTTTCACATTCTTATCATCATAACAAGAAAAGAAAAGACTGAACATGAAATCTATAACTTTTATAAAAAACAGTAAATGGGCCATTTCAATTTTAATGGGTTTATCAACACTTTAAAGTTAATGTATATTGTCTACAATACTTTAAATTAAAAAATTAAAACATTTCTAGTATTCCAAGTTGAGAGAAATAAAATTCAACTGAAATTCAACTTACCGATCTTTTGCTACTAGAATCTCCCGATCTTGTGGTGCCGAAATCACTGGGTCCCATGGAGAATCCTCCTCTAGGTGGTCTATCAAACTGAGCACTGAAGCTGCTTTGGTCAAAGAACCCAGGAGGCTAAAAAAATATTTTTTTAAATATTTATATAAATTTAAAATTGCAGCTACTACATGAGAATTTTACAAAAAAAGTTTTAGTTTCATATCTATGATAGTGATAGAAATAGCATTGTTGCTAAAATTAATTTGCATGTGGAATAAAAGAAAATAAGAAATATACCCAGTCAAGTATTAGAGAGCAATTATTACATTACTGTGTATAAAAAATGCTCAGCATTTCTACTAACCTTTCAACTGCAATGTTTTTTTTCTAAAAAATGCTGAGCCATTCTAGCAATTTGGTTTGTGGAATAGGGTAAGTATGGTAAAGGTCTTACAACAGAATTTTTCAATAGATTTGCTCAGATTTTTATTTAAAGAAAAAACATAGTAACATAACTAAATAAAATTCAGCACAGAATAAATGTTTAAATTATATCACTAAATGTAATAGGCATAAATGTTTAACAATAAATGTAATTGAATGTCAAGGTCACAATCACCAATTTATGAACTCACATATTTTATTGTTAGTACTAAGAAAGTACAGGCCATTAATTATTTTCTTTATGAAAAATCAATGTCTTTTTAAGTTCTTGCGTAAAAATGCAAAAATGAAACATAACCAGTACAATAACCCTTTCATGTATGGCACAGTTTTTGCTCTACAACGCATGTTAAGGGTATCAAAAGGGTTAATGATTTCTATTGATTTTCAGGTCCTGGAGTTCAAATAATTTTGTCAACAATTTATTGTAGATAACAGAGCTTAATTTAAAAATCAGGTAGACAGTACAATGTGAGGTGGTAGAAAGTTATTTAAACCACAAGTTTAGGTACTTACAGGTCCAAACTGTGCCATTGGATGAGGTGGTGGAGGCCTCTGATTAAATTCTCTCATGTAATCAGAATAGGACTGAAAAGAAATGATTAACTTCATGCATTTGTCACAAAATACACATTCAACAGTAAAATAAGTAATTTTTAAAATTACACATCAAATCAACTCTGAAATTAAGTTATTTTAAATACAAAAATATACCACTTACATGCTCAAGTGATTTATATAGTTATAACTAGCTTTTACCAGAATTTGCAGCTCAGATAAAAGAAATTGTCATCAAAGTAATTTTAGAAAACCATTACCTCCAAGTGTTTTAAAAGTTGTACTGCAATTTTACAAAAATAAATGAAAAAACAAAAGAACCCAAAAAGAATGCTATTCTTTGTTTAGTGCTATTTGGTAGCTGTTTCAGTAAATGCCTGCTGGGGATGATATCATTCTTGTTCTCAGCCTGTGGAGTGATGACCCTTGCCTACACATACCCCATTTATAAAAGTGTCTCTTCTCACCCCAGCATATCTTGGTGACCTGCACAAAATACAATAAATTTGAGCAATGCAATATAATTTTAACAGTTGATATATTTATGTCAAACTCATTTTGTAAAGGACAGTTTTTTTCTAATACATCAAATGCTCTGATGCTTTCAGAACCACTGCTTTAAATTTGTGTAGATCCCTATTAGAACAGAATAATAATCCCTCACCTTTCCATTCTTCTGTCTTTGTAGAAAGCTGGAAAAATTGAACAGAAATACTAATCAATAAAAAAAAATAAACAATCTTAAATTTGCACAGGATATCTTAAATTAAGTGGTTTATAGTTGAATAACATAAAATTTGATTAGGGGCCATCCATATATCCCCCCCCCCGTCGCACAGGTACATTTTTGTTGGCTTTACTAGAGAGACTATTAAAAAAAAATAAACAAACTTAAAGTTGCACAGGATATCTTAAATTAAGTGGTTTAAAGTTGAACAACATAAAATTTGATTAGGGGCCATCCAGATATCCCCCCCCCCCCCGTCGCACAGGTACATTTTTGTTGGCTTTACTAGAGAGACTATATGCAGCGGAGTGGTGTTGTGGTGAGGCTGTCATGTTTATTAATATGTTTAATTTTAATATATAGAATACTTGAGAAAATCAGGTCTTGAGGACTATAGCTTTATTACAATGCCAAAGAAAAAGCTTAAGGGAAACTCTAACACTAAAGAAAAAGGACAATCTAGAGCGTCCAAATGGGCTGCAGTGAACAATGGTGCACTTTAGGAATACGATTTAAAGCCATGAATAAAAAAACCCTTAGAGCTGACCCTATAAATAATAGCTCGCAAAAGACTAGAGAGCATGTACATAACACCAAGACCAAGATGGTCTACTACTTGTCTTCTGGCAGATTGCCTCTGGTAAAATGACAAACCCTGGGGACTACACCCTGAGTAAAGATTAAAATCTCTGACCAAACCCCTAAACATAAATGTGGCCTTTTCAGTTTTGTCTCGGCTATCTAAGATACATTCTTACATTTCGAAGAGTTCGATGGTTTTTGAGATATTTTAAATAGAAGAGGTTGGGGACATATCCCCCCCCCCCCCGATGAATGTGAAAACTACCTTAATTACTTAATATTAAAATCCCCTTTAACGATGTAGACTTGAAAATATACTAAGGTATAGCGAATAAAATCCCCTTTCCAACTAGATATTATTCATAGAAAAATACACTAGGGTTCCAGAGAAATAAATTATGGACCTTATACCAAAAGCATGCACACATAGTGGTTACCAATATTTTCAAGTATTCTAAGCCATGGGTGAGGCGCAGTTTATACTGTGTGACTTGGTGCGGTATCCTAGCCCTAACCCTGAGGTTAAATTCCAATACAGTGTTGGGCGCTTAACACTGTTTTCCGTAAAGTGTGGCCTACTCTGCCACATATAAAAGTCAGAATTTCAGGATTATTATTACAGAAGGTGGGCATGGCATAAATGTTTGAAAATGTTTTACCTAACCCTGCTCCACAGCCATAGGCACAAATCTAAATAATCAAGAAAATATGGATGGCCACCTAAAGAAAATCTGCATAGGTAAGATAGACGTTTATAAGATTGTGGACAATACAAAATTCCTGAGGAGTAAGAGCTCTCAAGGGATTAGAATGTGTTATTGCCAGTACTGTATTCCCAAAATGGGTGCAGACCATACAGAGGAGGTTATTTGGTAACTTTGAGGAAACATTTTAAAGCATATTAAATAAGAGGAGCAATCAGTTGAATAAAATATAGTCGGTGTGTTAAAAATAAAAGAGAGATGCTATTTAATAATTTTTAAAAAGCTATTTTAAAATATCCCTTTTCAGAGATAAACTTATGTAATTTAATACTAACTGGATAAGACTTCCTTATTTTTATGAATTGGGGGACAAAAATTGTAGTGGTGGTGGGGCATGGTAGAGAAACAGGTTGGGAAAGACTGCCTTATTTCATATAGTAGCAGTAGAAATGTTGTAGAATGGTTAGGTGGTTCATGAAAAAAATGATATGCAAATTTAATTTTGCAGTAATGATTTGCAAATTTCTTTTGGTACTTAAATGAAATAATTCATTGTTAATGGATGAATACATATAATAAATGTTGAAAATAGTCCAATCAGAAATATTTAGATATTCGGACAAATAGATTGTGTATAAAACACTCACGCTCTCTGTCGTAATTACCACGACTTCGTTTTGGTCTTGGGGTGGGCCCCTCATAAAACTCATCTCTATTTTGGCGCCGTCTAATAGTAGCAAAAATAAACAATTCAAGTTAAATTACTTAATATCTAACTACAATAAAAGCCTGAAAGAATACAGAGTATTTTTCAGGACATAAAATAAGTTTTAAACTTGAATAAATTAAAGGACAAACATATCAAAGATTAAGCAACAACAACAAAAAGTTAACACCATACAAAACAGAATTCTAATAAATAGCAGGGGCAATTTTGGGGGAAAAGTAATATTAAATTTTAAAACAAACGAAATAATGTAACAACTTTAAAAAAATTGTAAAGCTTGCTTTTAAAGAATGTTTGTTGCACATTTAATTAAAGCAAAAAGTATGCTCATGAACCAACGCATATGAAGTGTAGTTAAATAAAATATATACATATATGTTTATATATGTGTGAGACAGAGAGAGAGATCAAGATGGATATGGAGAGAGTGTGTGGGTGAAAAGCGGGAGCGAGAAAATATAAATAAACTTGAAAAATATTAAAACCAATAACCCTTCATTGGGAAGCTAACAGTTCTATAATAAATGTATTCTCAGTGTAGGATTCAAGTGTAATTAGTGAAGGTCAAGTTTGCGATGTTAATGTTATATTAATTGATAGGTTAAATATTACGATTGTGAAAAATATCTATAGAAAAAAAATACATTTGCGTTAATGTTAAAAATGAGCTTATGAACACTTTAACTTTAATCACATGCAATTATAATTTAAGCTCATTTACACTATTAATAAACGTGAAAAGTGATAAAAAAATAAAGCTAAGCATAGACCCTCTCCAAAAAAAATTTAATAATATTATTGCTACTGTAAAAAGATGCCAAATTCAGGCGCATCAGAATCTGGTAAATATGGTAACTACAAAAATTATAAGCACGCACAGAAAACGCATATGGGCTAGGTGGCTGGTATGCTACAGAGACTGAAAATTAAATCAGTGTATATAATGTAGTCTAATTTAAAATGTGTTTGATTACTGTCAGCCTTATAAAAAATGTGATTAAGCCATTGTTTGAAGATGATTCTGCAGAATTTGAATGTTAATGTTAACTTGACTGTCAACTCTGATCTGCTTTATTTTTGTGCTAAAAAAACCTTGGTACCAGTTTTAGGGAACGCTGAAACTTTAAATTGAAGTAGACATAAATAGGAAAATGATTTTCATGACCAAGCTTTAATATTAGTTTATTACATTATGTAATCTGAGTGAAAGACTGCATCTTGTTCTGAATACATTTATTAATTTTAAACAAATAATTTATAATTATATTTGAAAACTTCTAAATTATTGAGCCAAGATACTAATCTTATCACATGAGAAAAGCATCAGACCATCAAGCCAGAGCTCTTTAGACTTTACCAACATACCCCTCCACCCACAGCCTGGCTAAACCTAACCGCTGAGAGCATTCCACCACCGGAAAACCCCACCCACTGTCCACTCAATTGAGCAAGCAAGTGGGGCGTCACTGACCCAGGAGCACCCGGCTGATTGGTGCTGCTCTCACAGCACCAGCAATCGAACTTTCTTGTAACTAGGATGGATATATTTTAACATCCCTAAAAACACCCCTTCCCATCCTGGGGTGGCGTCAGACAACAACTAATAGGGAGCCAAGCTATTAACACACATAATCTGGTGAAGGTCTGTCTCTTATGACCCCGGCTAGTAAATTGGCTACCAGATCCATCTGCTGAGCTGAGCCATACAACTTTTTCCTCACAAAGGGTTCTCCAACTGCCCTGGATTTTCCCGGGGACATCTAGAGAGGGACATTCTGTTAACAGGTGTGATAATGTCTCCAGGACTAGGCTGCAGTGCTGGCAGGTAGGATCCCTGTTGTTGTCCAGCCGCCAGAAGTATGTGCCTATGGGGCAGTGCTCAATACGCATCTGCGTCATTAAGCTCTGCTGTATGCGGCCTAACCCCCATGGGTCCTGTTTGCTAGGAGTGGGCAAGTTTGAAAAGAAACCTCTGGCAGTCATGTTGTCTGCCCATTGCCTGTACCACTTTGTCCTGAAATGGTCCGCCAGCCAGTTCTTTATTCCCAATAAGTTATTAGTACTTCTGGCTGAGGCTGGGCAGCCCCGGTTTTCACCAGTGTTAGCTTTCTTATTGCTACTAGCGTTGATGTGACCTGGGATCCATCACACTGTTACCTTGCCTCCTAGTTCCCTGATTTTGCACACGTCATCAATGATGACGTCAACTAAGTCAGTAGTGCCTGGTCTCTTTCCCAAGATCTCGAGAGCAGATCGAGTCCAAGTACACAATCACATCGAGCCCCACAAGCTCTGCCTCCTTTAACGTGCGATACACTCTCTAGAGCCCTGTGAATAGCTTCGAGCTCTACGCAAAATTTGATGCTGCAGTCCCCACAGGGCCCCGGGGGTTATTCATTTGGTGGTCCCCCTGCTGCATACAGTATGAGCGCACCATACCCAGCAGTTCTTTCTCTCAGATTGGCAGAGCCGTCCGTGAATACTTTCACTGGTATGTTGGAAAACACAGCCATGGTCTCAAGGGTAGCCGCTTTCTGAAGATGTTCAGGGCTGCGTTTCGTCACTGCTGCATCGGTCAAGGCCAAATGTATGGAGGGACATGAGGGTTCCAAGTATGGCAGATTGACTGGGATTAGGGTCAGGCGTTCTCTATTGCAAGGCAGGTCGACTGTCCTCTCAAGCTCTACGACCAGGTGCATGAATGAGGATCTCTAGTCGCCTGCCCGCCACCCAGTTGTTCTGCATTTGGAACGACCGTTCCTTCTCGATCAGCCGTCGATGCCTCTGGTTAAAAATGTGTGTCTTCAATATCCTTTCTTAACAAAACAAAAATCAGATTTTTGCAATTTTTTTGTGTGTTTTTGCTATGAACTAATGGAATCTGCGTGAATGACCCGACAGAATGCCTCTAGGTCAGGGACCCACACCACTGAGGCGACTCGGCGGTGTCACATGGGATCTTGCATCTTCGTGGCGTGGCAGACCAGTAGGGAGGTTCACTCCTGAAGCTTAAAGATCCCGGCCACCTGCACTAACATGGTTACTTGTCACCGATAATGCATATGAGGCTTGGGTGGCAACAAAACCCTGGCCGAGGATTTAAAATACGCGGCCCTGAGAAAGCCGCTCCACGCTACATCTAGACCGAACAACTCCCCGGCGGTGGAGGAGGGTAACACAACACCCTTCATCCGGAGAGGAAGTAAAGCCGTTCTGATCCACGGAGAGTGGACTGTCCACGCCATGAGAGGGGTGTGCACGGTCAACCGGACATTCCCTAAGCTTGAGGGGGAGGTCTCTGGCACTCTTCTGCACGGTATGGCGGTGGGGAAACCCGGCGGCGTCCCGTGTGGGGGTGTGCCGGAGGGGGTTTTAAGAGTTCACGCTCGATGACCCACCGACACCATCTCCAAATTGAGTTATTGAGTATTAATTTGAGGCTAAATTATTTAGAAACTTAATATTTTATCTTCAAATTTGAGTAATGTGGATATCAAGGATTCCTCAACTTATGATGGATTTAAATAAACCATAAGACTAAGCTGTGTATTACTGTAGGAAATTTCAGAATTCCTATGATTAGTGGAACCTTTTTGCTCAGAAAGGTAAAAAATTACAAACTATGAAATAAACAAACCTGAGAAGTGTAATAAAAAGGCTTTTAAAAATAGCTATTATTGTGCAATTGAAAAATACATTTTTTTTCTTTCTCATATTAGTTTCCATGTTAACATCCATTCATTTAGTTCATATTAAGATATTAAGAGAACAAAACAAAAAGAAAAGCATGAGTTTTGCGAGTTTTGAGCTGTTGTGAGCAATCAGGTCTTGATGAAAATAGATTTTTAAAATTCAATAAGTCTTCAATATAAAATACTAAAACATGATACTGGAATAACTTACAAGGAAAACTTAAAACCTATCAGTGAAGCACAGCCAATTGGAAATTGGAGTAAATAATTTTTGTGTTAAATAATTATCTATCTATTTGTCTACAATACTTTAGTAGATCGTGATATTTTTACACTACAGTATAATTTTCAAAATGTTCCTTTAACTAGTTATTTTGACTAATATTAAATATAGCAAAAATAAATGAACACTTTATTTTTTGCTATATTTAATATTATGTTTTGTAAAAAAATGGAGTAAATGAAATAATTCATAAGCATTATCTAACCTTATAAGAATAAAATGTGTGATACTTAAAATAAGTTGAAACTACCTTTAAAGAATTACTTTAAAATTTGAACAGCATCAGACCTGTTTACTCTTACGATTTTGGCGTACAATGTACGATTTTGAGGTGTATACATTATATATACAGCACGTTTTTGCTCTATAAAGAGAATGTATTGAACGATTATATGATGATATTGTACGATTTTAAGGGTTTGAGGGGAAACAGGTCTGCAGCATGTCTCAAATCTTCAAAATTTAAGGCCGAATTAAGAATCTCTTGTCTTATGCAATCTCCAGAGTAAAAGAAAATGAGGCCAACCACTAAACACTTTGGGATGGAATCTAGAGAAAACTGGGGAGATGTGTAGTGAGCTTGAAAGAGTGGATCAAGGCATATATAACAGTGATGATGGCGCTTGTTAAAAGGAAGATGGAAGACTCAGGTACAATACAGTCATTTAAGAGTTCAGAGTAAATTAAGTTTAAAAATCTCTTTTCAAAGCTCATTTCAGTAGAACTTTAAATTAATTGGACGGTGATTTCTGATAGATTTTTTAAATTTTAATCAATAAAATCAGTAGCCTCACTATTTCACAAAAGTTGAGCTTTATATATTTAGCCAGGAGTTTATTTCTTTAAACTATCTTTTTATCTAAATAATGCAATACAGATTTGATTTCCTAGACTAAAGTTTTACAAAACAGACAATTCGATGAGGCTTGTCTATATCTAAAAGCAAAATAAATAGCACAATTTAACTGCAATAGTCTCAGATTTTTAAATTGTAGGATAGAAAAGGGCTAAGATTAAAATACTTGTAAAATTTAAAACTATACAATTTATTCTTGGTACCAAGATTAATAGATGGATTTCGCCCCAGGGCTATCACAGAGATCAATAGGGAACAACATTCTAAAATGCAAATACCAAAATTTTGGCTATATTTTCTACAAATCGTCCTCCCCTACATTGTCCACTTTTCCCGGAAATTAAAAAAAAAATCTGCAATTCATTAATGTAAACCTGGATGGTATACATATTTAAAAACCCATTAAAAAAATTTCTTTAAAAATATTGCCTTTAAATAGATTAACACAAAGAATGCTTTCCGAGTTATACGTTTTACCAGTTCACCTAGGTATGATAGCAAAGCAATGTCCCGCTATTCATAAATTGAAAAGTTTTTAAATATCATTTCTTGTAATAACATTTCTATCCATGACTACAAAGTTGGACTTGTGAAGTCACAGTTTTGAGCTTTTACCAACTTTTTATCCCAAGCGAACTCACGAAAAATGAGCAGAAAATTTATATCATTGACATATGGTAACATATAAGCATTAAAATAAAGAATTTGAAGTCATAATTATTTCGAATTGTTTTATACAACATATAATTTAATTAATCTTAGGGACTGCTGTTTCCCCCACATTATTTTTGCGCCCTTCCCTTTTTTAAAATTAATGTTTTGGCTTTAATGAGGACCTATGGGTTGAGGAGCTTAAATATAGTTTCCTTTTTAGAAACAGAAGAAAAAAACAGACATAGCGTAAACAAATTTTGCTTTTAAAGTTACAAATTATTTGTAGAATAGTAGTAAAATAAATTAAGGCATTGACAAGCCGCCACCCAATTAAAAAAGCACCAAATGTTAGAACTTGGTATGGCTTCAATAAAAAAAAAGTGAAATGAATCCTAATCTGCCCCTGTAGAATACAACCCTATATTTAAATATTATTTATTTCTATTCAAAGCTTTTGGTAACTAGATCTTCAAAATGATAGAAATTTAACTGTAATTATTCCCTAGAACAACTGGCTGTTTTGAGCTATTCAATTTTATTTGTAAAAATCGATATCGCTTAAAAGAAATTTGAGAAGGTTATGTCTGTAGAGCGGAATTAAATAATTTCACTTAAAAAATAGGTGCTTGAAGAGTATATATTGGATTTGAATTAATGAATGAATGTTAACTTATGAATGTTGTGATAAAGTAGTTAACAATTTTTTTTTTAAAAAGCCTAAAAATGAGAAATTGAAAATCACTCAACTGGCATTAAATTTTATGAGTAGCTGTGCTAATTTTCCAAACATTAATTTAGAGTGATCTAGCCTCTAAAGTTAAAAATAAATTAAAAAATTGTGACTCTTTTTGTTTGGACAAAGTTGTGTACACTAAGCAAGCTTTTAGGGTAACTGGGAAATGATTTTTATCTTTAAAAAAATGCTTAACAACTTAAAAAAAACTGAGACAAAACAAAACATAAGGAAATTAAGAAATGGAAGTCAAAGCAGAACAAACAATAATCATACCACAGTGCTAAGCATACCATCCACTCAGCATGAATGAACTTGAAATTACTCCGTTTTCAGTCAGAAATAATATTCAGTCCAATTTTCAGGAATCAACAGATTGACCCCTTAAACACATGACCATATTTTCTGTCTTTTTTTACCTGGTTAATTTTCAGTCCTTTTTTAAAAAACCTTTCTGAAAACTAGTCCAATTTTGGAATGGGGAAACAAATCTAATAACCCACAGGTGTGTGTCCAAATTTCATAATTATCGTCCGGGTTCAACGTGTGCATCATTACTTGAGCACCATAAGAAAAGCTCACACTTTCTATTAATGCTTGAGCTCCTTGCAAACAAACAAATTGTCCTGATTAACTCTGCTTTTATCACAAACCATTTCGTCCTGTTCATGATGGTACCGAGCCTTTTTATTTTTAAAGAATATCCATTAATAAAGAGTCTTTTACAAATTTCACACTCCTCTAAACTTGGCAAAATCACCAGATATATTGAGATAAATTAAAATAAAATTACATCATATAAAATTGTAATTTAAAATGAAGATGAATTTTTAAGATTATCCGTTTAACGTGCACTACTAAAACTGGGCTATTCTACAAATGCTTTTGGTCTTGATAAAACCAAACTATTTTTAACAGTTCTTAAATAATGCAACAGCTCAGTTGGTTGAAATTTGTTGAACTTATCTTTAAAGATAAGGCTAAGGATGTAGATTAAAAAAGCCTATTCTTGTGCAACTGAGGATACAATATTAGTGAAACAACATTCATTGATAGCTGTGCACAACAAATTATTGTACAAGATAATGAACATTTGATTCACTTTACTTATACCAAATGCACTCTGCTCTAATAGCGAATTACAACAAACTAAACCAGCTAAATTGATATATATCTTTTAAGTCCAACTTTATAGCTTTCTAGAACACTGCACTTGTAAGTCCCAGTCACTGAATTTTTTTGTATATATTTTTTAAAGAGTGTCCAATATTGGTGGCAGCTGTATATAAAGTCCATTGAAATTTTCTTATCACCTAGGTCCAAAATCCATGAATTGATAAAGATGCAGGTTAGAAAAATTCTCAGGTGAACGCAGGTGAAAATAAAGCTAATCCGAATTTGCAAACAATTGGACAGTGAAGAAATTTTGACGCCACTGGTTTTCAAAACACAATTACAATAAATCATGTTGGTATTAATTCTTTACCATATTTGCTCTCTTATATTAGATTAAACACCACGTTGGTACGTCACTAATATTAATCAACTTGATTTTTAAACAGCGATATTCACTGGCGGTTCTAACATTTCTTTTGCTCAGGTAGACCGGTACGAGGAGCCTTACACTGCTGGAGAGTGGCTTAGCCCCAGAGGGTCGTAAGATCCACCCATGAGCTTTGATTTGACAACAGTTCATCAAAATTTCACGACAGGTAGAAACCAGCATATCAGGCTCCTAACCTGGAAAACTCAGGCCCAGAAGGCATGGCAGGCCTCCTTGGGCCCAATACACGAGGTGCTCGTTCCCGGATATCTCGATCAGGTCGATCATGTGCTTTCCTTGCTTTACGCACTGTTTCTGAGATATCAAGATTTTCATCTGCTGGGAATAGTTTGCAAAGGCTCTCTCCACACCGTGGCTCGATTTCCTGAAATTAATTTTTTTAAATATATGATCATTGTAATTAGTTGCTTGAACATTAACTTAAAATTATGGACACATAAAATTATAAAAATGAATTTTATATGTTGGGCACATTAATATATTAATAGTATTACCAGATATGAGTAGGTGTCGAATGATACCTTTTTTTTTTATATTATGCACAAAACATAGAACCCAGGATTATTTACACTCTTGTTATCAAGAACTACTATATTGATAAAATAGTGGTTACATATTCAAACACAAGTACATCTTTATAATGTTTAAAATTGTTAAGCCACAGACAATTTAAGCTTTATCTCATTACTTTCTATATTTGGTACTTACTTGTCCATCTCTGCCAATCTTAACTCGTTTGTTGTCATTCCACATATTAAACAAGTGATTTGTCTTTATAAATTCCAAATCTCTCCTGATAGTAAATGAACAAATTAAATTTAAAGCACATAAATAATAATGGATACAATAAACTTAAATACATTAGGACCTTTTAAAATATAGAAATCTCAATTAGCAGTAAGAAATTATCACTTTAAAAATCTATTAAAAACGTTCCTTCCTTTAATTTTGTTAAAGTTCTTGGTATAAATAAATTAGTTTAAATAAAATTGAACTTCTTTTAATCTTTTTTTTTTCCTACCGTGTGATCCAGTCTAATTTAAATACACCACTCAGTGCCCTGGAAGTCATTCCTGGTGGCAAAACCCAACGTATTGGTGGGTGGTCTTTTGTAGATTCCTCAGCCAGGCGAGCAAATCCTGCAATTAAATAATATTTTTAATAAGAATATTTACTTAAATTCATAGAGTTGGCAACTGTTACCAGAATATGTAATGAGCTGCTCAAGCATTAAACAGAAACTAGTCTCTTTCCCTCATAGTCATCGACGAGGCAGTTCCGGCTCATACAAGCAAGAAGCCAGTTTTGGAACTGCTCATTCCTGCCAAAGACAATCAGGGACTGGAACAAGATTCCGAAAGGAACAGTTGAGGCGACAACACTTGACAAATTTGCGTCCATTGCCTCAGGCCTTCCAATCCCTAGTGCATAATACCGTCACTAAGTAGCCCTTGCAACCAGTGAAATATCCTCGTCAACACCAGGCACAAAAACATTGCAAATCCCCCCTACATGCATAGCAGCCAGAATTATCAATAAATTGATCGTAGGCCCTAATATAATGAAGAATATATAATTTATTATAAATAGTTTATAAAAGTTGAAACATCTGAGCAAAATGTTTAATGCTCATTAGGACAATATTAACAAGGTAATTGAGTCCAGCCTAAGGTAGAATATCATTAACCTCAATGCAGTAAACCTGTAACAACCAATTTAATTCAGGATTTAAGATTCTCTGGAAAGTGTACTGACTTTGAAAAGAAATTAAAGAGCATTAAGATTTTAACTCTATTGTTCTTAATTTTTTAGTGCATGCTTGTTCAGGGCTGAAATCACACTGTCATTTCTATTTTCCCATTCTTTTAATTATATTGCCTCTAATAAGTATTTAAATAAAGATTCTCAATTTTCCCTTTATGCAACTCAAGCACTTTTATCATGAAAATAAAATGTCTTTATGAAAAGTTTAAAGAAGTTTAAAATTTTGAGACATATGTTCATTATGAATAAAATAATAAAAATAGTAAAAATTATTAAAAAGGCAACACATATTGGATCTAATCCCAAAAGAAATCTAATTTCAAGGCAAAAGTAGGATTTTCCAATTAACTATTTTTTTAAATGTTTGTAATCCATTAAAATATCCAAAAAGACATTAAGAACTAAATACGAATCAGGTACAGAAAGTTATAAAAATATGTTTTGTTAAAGAAGATATCACAGACATTAAACACGGATTGTTTTGTTGAAAACTCAGCACCAAAAAAAAAAGTATAGCAAAAATTAAAAGGTTTTCAAGTGATAAAACTTAAAATTACTATGACTAACCTTGGAATTTTCCACTTTCTTTCACAGAAAATATGAGTATCACATTGTCACATTCCTGGAAATTAAAAATAACAAATTGAACATAGATGCAAACATTTATTTTCTCCAATCCAATAGATAGTAATGCAAGCAATATCTTAAGCGAATTAATAATTAAAATGAACTTCCTTAGATCCATTAGTCAAGTGCATTTTTCTGTGGCGTCAAGCCCCTTAAACATTTTCATATGCTTGTCAAAAATGAACTAAAATTGTCAATATCTGACTTTTATGTCGCCATCACTGCTAGAGCTAATACTGTCATTATTACCAATATTAGCATCTATGTTCATTTTGCAATCTAGAGGCAGACCCTCTGCAGCACCAGACATGATGGCAGTCAAAAAAATAAAATTGAGCAAATTCCCTACCCCACAAAATTAGTCCTAATAAAAGCATAACCCTTAAACATTAAATCTTAGAAATTTTTAATGCTGATTTTGCTACCCGCCGATTATATCGGCAGCAACACCACAGAAAGGGGCATAACAGCCGATAATAGGGGTGTGCCGGAATCCGGTCCGGAATCCGGTTCCGCCGGATTTTGCACTATCCGGTGAAATCCGGTTCCGCCGGATTTACATGTATCCCGAACAACCGGAATCCGGAATATACCGGATTTCGGAATTTGCCAGATTTTGTGACTCACCGGATCATAATCTGAAATAAAAGTAATTCACATTCCCGAATTCCACACGATCACGATACATTAATCGATTGTTTCGAGCGTTGAGCTTGTTTAATATTTAATATTCCGAACATACCAGAGGCTAGAGTCAGCACCGCTAATAGTGGCCAATAGTGTAGGGACTTTGATAAGAAAATTTAAACTTTTTGTAAAAATAAACCAATGGCATAGTTGAAAAGAGGTAATTTTTTAAAGAATTATAACACCAAAATCATATTTTTAGCTGTTGTAGTTTTAAAGTTATGAATTTTTAAAGTACGACTTGGTTTGTCATTTTTTAACATGGACTGCATCTCCACATTCTGTGATCTCATTCCGCCAATCCCGTCATGCGCAATGCCAATCCCGTCATGCGCAATGACTATATAGTTTATATAAGGCAACGCATTCCCTGCCTTATCACTAAAATACTGTTTAGACTTAGTTTTAACTTTCAACTTTGGCACATGAATAATTAATTAAAGCTTTCCCTGACCAATGGTTTAATAGTTTTTGCACACGGCAAACTCTTATGAATGAAACTCTGAGGTAGTACTACGATACAGTTATGCAAGTTCATATTTTTAGCTGTTGTAGTTTTAAAGTTATGAATTTTTAAAGTACGACTTGGTTTGTCATTTTTTAACATGGACTGCATCTCCACATTCTGTGATCTCATTCCGCCAATCCCGTCATGCGCAATGCCAATCCCGTCATGCGCAATGACTATATAGTTTATATAAGGCAACGCATTCCCTGCCTTATCACTAAAATACTGTTTAGACTTAGTTTTAACTTTCAACTTTGGCACATGAATAATTAATTAAAGCTTTCCCTGACCAATGGTTTAATAGTTTTTGCACACGGCAAACTCTTATGAATGAAACTCTGAGGTAGTACTACGATACAGTTATGCAAGTGGCTGTGAATGGTTGCCAATGACAACGTGTTGCACACGGTAAATTCTGATAATTTATAATATGGATTCTACCGGGTTGTTAAAGCTCAAATTAAAACATTCCAGTTTAAATGTCTTTAAAATGCATTCTGAAACACAAGTTATCAATTATTTTGATGTAAATAGTGATAATAAATTAATATTTCCTAAATATCGGCAACTTCCGCCATTAAAAAGGGGGGCGTGGCCAACCCCACGGCGAAATTAGGTTGAGCGAGCTGCATGACCTGCTGCGAACACGTAGAAACATGGCGTCTCTTGTAAGAAACTTATCCAAATGGAACGGAACTCAAATATATATCGAAAGTACTAATTTAATAATAAATAGACACACACATCGGAAAATTAAAAACTCAGATTTTTTTGCCGCCGATTGCGAATTCCCATACACAAAAAGTAGTAGTCTACCTTGACTTACCGAAGTATCTACCAATAGTACCAAAATTCGGAATCCGGGAGAAACCGGAATCCGGATTATTCCGGAATCCGGATCCGACGGATTTCGCATAAGAAAATCCGGATCCGGTTGGAAAAAACGGATCCGGCACACCCCTAGCCGATATGACAGTTATGGGGTTAAGAAGAACATATTTGTGAATGAATTATGCAAGTCTAAATTCTCAATAATTACATGTTTCTACTTCATAAAAATAATTACCCTAAACGCTTGATTGAATCTTGCTTCATTTTGTGGAGGAGTTGACCAAACACCTTTAGCTTTGGCCAAGGCTACATTCTCATGGTTATTGCTCTTTACCAGGAAGAATCGAGCACCTCGCATTAAATATTTTAATTTGGACCAATACTCTGAAGAAGATAAAGAGATATAGTACTTGAAAATATTTAAAATTTGCGAACCATAAAAAAAAATGAAATGCATGAGCCACAGAATACTGAATAGCTTCCTTGCTAATATTTTCTTAGGTTTTAAAAACTCACAGATTTAATATTAAGATAATCTGTAAATTTAATACATGACATAGATTTTATTTTTTTTTTTGCAAAAGAACTTTGATAAAAACAAACAATATTTATGGGTGGTTTTTTTTTGATGACCAGTTAAATTAAATTGAAATAAAATTGGGCATTTTTTACTTCTAAATCTAAATTTAAAAAATGAAACTAACGTCTATCTTCCTCTTTGTCTCTACCCTTTGAATCTTTTGATGAGCTGTCGCCCAGATCTGTAGGACTGCCATCTTTTGCCTTGTTCTTTGAGCCTTCACTCCTCCTATCCCATTCAATTGGTGAGATTCCTCGCTGTGATTTTCTCTTTGATTTATCTCCTTTATAGAGAAATGACATTCCTTATCACACTTAATTATTAAGCTAAATCACACATACTTTTTCCTAATTAAGGCAATATTTAAAAACACAAAATTGTATTGAAAAAAGATTAATACCTGATTGTATATTTTCATCCTCTGCATTTAAACTAATGTCAAGCTTTTCTTCTTTTACAGCAACTGTTTCTCCATCATCTTCTTCTTCTTCCTCATCCTCATCCTCTTCTTCTTCATCATCATCATCTTCTTCTTCTTCGTCTCCATCTTCCTCCTCATCTTCCTCCTCGTCTTCTTCATCATCATCATCATCTTCTTCATCATCTGACTCTTCTTGCTCTGACAATTTGAAAAAAAAACAACTCCTTAATAACTAATATAACAATTCTATAAAACGGCCACATGCAGTATTAAGTTGTTAAAATGGTTTTAACAGCCTTTAGTTAATATCAGCAGATTTCAAAATTCTTTATCCAATTTAAGAAATCAATTTAAGAAATCAGTTAATAGTATTTGCGTCCACAACAGCAGCAGTGCACAGATTTTTGTTTGTTTGTATAAACAAAATTATTTAATTTAAGGGAAAAAAAGTAGTGAAGATTATATGTAAAATATCAATAAATATTGACGGAAAGCATTAATAGACCAAGAAGATTTCAAGAATTTGATCATTTTAGGGAATTAAATGTGTATGTTTATCACACTCAAATTTGTGTGATGTGGTTTAATTGGCATTTGAAAATGAAAGCAAGAATATAGCAAAGTTGGTGTTATGGATATTTAAGGTGCATTCAGAGGAAAAACAACATTCTACTTTGATTTTTAACTTTAAATTCAGTAAATATTTTTTTTAGCTTAGTGTTTCTTGTATTAAGTTGCATCATTCATTCTTGTCTAGTGCAACATTGACATTTCCAGATTATTTGTTTTTGAAAATAACAATACAAATGTCTTTTTTTCCTGACAATACCAATCGATGTGAAAAGTGCACCAGGAAAATAACAAGGCTTTCAATAAATCCTTCACTTAATTAACATATTTATTTATTAATTTGTAGGTTTAAACATTGAAATAATTCATTTCTAAATTCAATTTTTAACTTATTTATATGTTGGTCACAAAAATTCCTGATTTCCATTTCATCAAGTTCTTATATGCTATAGCTTTTTAATTATTTTGATTAGCAATTACAAAAACAATAAAAAATAAATATATAATTATTACGATTACAATAATAAATAGAAACTAATACAGACTACTTTGATCTGTGAGTGTTATTTTGCTGAAAAACAATATCTATGAATTACTGTTTTACAATGAGCTAAACAAAACCCAGCAAAATCTATCTGCATCACAAATGTATTTCAATAACACATACCAGAGGATGAGCTAAGAGAGCTGCATGCACCTTTATTATTTGTAGGTATGAAAAGCAAAGTATTTATACTTTATCAATATTACTTGTATTAAAATGCTGTGGATATTTTACATTAAAAATTAATTGTCAGTTTTAGAAATTAAAATTATTTAATTTGTTCCATTTAACAGATTTATAACTACAAATTCAGAGGCTTTAAAAAAAAAAAAGTAGTAACATTACATTACATTAAATATAAGTAAGATTAGTAGATAAAATTGTCAGAGGCATTGGCAGAGGAACACAAAAAAGTTAAAAGTGACTTCTCATTAATTTAAATGTAAATCTTAGAAAATATCATTAAAAAACATTTATACAAATGATTTAACAAATTGAAAATACACAAGAACAGAACTATTTTTTTCTTAATTGTGTTGAAATTTAATATTGATTTTAAAATATTTTAATGAATTTACATAGCATTTGGAACGTGAATGAATGCAATATTTTATCAGGCTAACAAATGAGCATGTTCATATTGTCAGATACATTCGAAATGAATTTACGGCTTTTATAAATAATTTTTTTTATTAAATCTCTGTTTGCATCAGACTTCAAATACACTATAGCAATAAATTACACGTTTTTTGTAATTCTCTGATAGTGCAATTATTGAGCATTCCATTTAAAAGTTAACGATATTCAATTTTGTAAATCGCCTCCATATCTGTTTAACAACTATCTCAATTATTTTAACATTAAAAATAAATTTAATAATTATCTTGCAAGTAGACATTAATGCCAAGTTTGGAATATGATAACCTGCTTGTTCTGAAAAATGCATTGATTTGGCTTGAAGCTGGTAATTAAAAAATTTTTGCTTTAAGCTATCCCTTGGTGTGTGTGAGAGGATTCTGACCATTACTGATACGTTCTTGTCAGTAGGGGTGTGCCGGATCCGTTTTTTCCAACCGGATCCAGATTTTCTTATGCGAAATCCGCCGGATCCGGATTCCGGTTTCTCCCGGATTCCGGATTTTGGTACTATTGGTAGATACTTCGGTAAGTCAAGGTGGACTACTACTTTTTGTGTATGGGAATTCGCAATCGGCGCCAAAAAATCCGAGTTTTTAATTTTCCGATGTGTGTGTCTATTTATTATTAAATTAGTACTTTCGATATATATTTGAGTTCCGTTCCATTTGGATAAGTGTCTTACGAGAGACGCCATGTTTCTACGCGTTCGCAGCAGGTTATGCAGCTCGCTCAACCTAATTTCGCCATGGGGTTGGCCACGCCCCCCTTTTTAATGGCGGAAGTTGACGATACTTAGGAAATATTAATTTATTATCACTATTTACATCAAAATAATTGATAACTTGTGTTTCAGAATGCATTTAAAGACATTTAAACTGGAATGTTTTAATTTGAGCTTTAACAACCCGGTAGAATCCATATTATAAATGATCAGAATTTACCGTGTGCAACACGTTGTCATTGGCAACCATTCACAGCCACTTGCATAACTGTATCGTAGTACTACCTCAGAGTTTCATTCATAAGAGTTTGCCGTGTGCAAAAACTATTAAACCATTGGTCAGGGAAAGCTTTAATTAATTATTCATGTGCCAAAGTTGAAAGTTTAAACTAAGTCTAAACAGTATTTTAGTGATAAGGCAGGGAATGCGTTGCCTTATATAAACTATATAGTCATTGCGCATGACGGGATTGGCGGAATGAGATCACAGAATGTGGAGATGCAGTCCATGTTAAAAAATGACAAACCAAGTCGTACTTTAAAAATTCATAACTTTAAAACTACAACAGCTAAAAATATGATTTTGGTGTTATAATTCTTTAAAAAATTACATCTTTTCAACTATGCCATTGGTTTATTTTTACAAAAAGTTTAAATTTTCTTATCAAAGTCCCTACACTATTGGCCACTATTAGCGGTGCTGACTCTAGCCTCTGGTATGTACGGAATATTAAACATTAAACAAGCTCAACGCTCGAAACAATCGATTAATGTATCGTGATCGTGTGAAATTCGGGAAAGAGAATTACTTTTATTTCAGATTATGATCCGGTGAGTCACAAAATCTGGCAAATTCCGAAATCCGGTATATTCCGGATTCCGGAATCCGGTTGTTCCGGATACATGTAAATCCGGCGGAACCGGATTTCACCGGATAGTGCAAAATCCGGCGGAACCGGATTCCGGACCGGGGTCCGGCACACCCCTACTTGTCAGTGTCAGTTGTAATTAATTAATATTTTTATTTTTAAGTTTCAATTTGCTTTTTTTTTTTTTAATTTAAAGAAAAAAATCAAGGAACTTCATCTACCTGGGGCATCTCCATTCTGATTCACTTTTCCTGAAGATAATCTTATAATTTTTAATCTTGCATCAGCCTGTTTATTAGTTGACGTTGAGGTTCTTTTCACACCTCTTTGTGAGCTTCGTAACTGAGTGTCTGTAAGATGAAACAAAATTGTATTTTGAATTTATAACAGAAGAGGCAACAGCAAATAACTGAATTTCATTATCACTTAGGTGTTTCTTTTAATTCTTTAACCACTGTAACTGTGATATAGAACATCACAAAATTGCCATTCAAGTGAGAAAGTTCACTAGTGTCTAGAGTGCTGGTGTGCAAACCTAACCCTTACTACTACTACAAATGCCCATATAAGAGAAGTAACATCGTCCTAAAATATAACATGGTATTATATACATATAAAATTCAATGAGACTTGAAAAGGTATTATTGAACAGCAAAAGTTGTTTTTTTGGATTTTGCCCTAAAGAATTTATTAAGTCTCAGAAAGATAGATTATCTCATATATTAAACCAATAAGCAAAATCTGATTAGTCAAGTACCAAGCATTGGGTGGGTGGGTGTGCGAACAATCAACAAATGGAGCATCATATTGATAAAACATATAAATATACTGGTCTATATACTCCCTTCAGCAGATATCTGATTGTATCATACACACTTTTATAAATCCCTAAAATCAATATAACATTCCTGATGTCTTCGGCTTCATTCATCTCATGAGTGTGAAAACATGTAACTTTAAAAATTCAGAGATAAGGCACAAAATGTTTGAAAGTTCAACAAGTAATAATAGTCACTCTTTTGTATTAGAATATATGTGGGTGTCAATTTATTTAATTTGATCCTTCTTCCAATAATATTTTTTTTTAAAGCGCTGCAGTATTAAAAAATTACAGCAATATGGAAGTATTGAAATAGTGAGTTTCAAAATTATTTTAATTTTTGGATTAACATTGCAGCACCAAGGCATTCATTAAGTCAAAAGACATACATATCCAGTAACATTGATACCAATTTAAAGGCAGATATGTGGTGTAAGCTCAATGATAATCGCTATGCCAACCTGGCATAACATATTAGTTGAAATAGTGTATTTCCTCTATTAATTTCCATTCATTGTCCCAAATTCATGTTTGTTTTGCCTAGTCCATCACCATCACAAATAGTGTATGAGATTATTTTTTAAATGCATTTTTTTTTTTAAATCACCAAGTACCATATCACAGTCTTAATTAAAATTTCATATTTTCTATAAAATTATCGGATTTTTAAATGTTTACATTTACCAGTGTCTTCACTCATCTCAGCAGAAAAGTCATCCCCTCCATGACAATCATCCAAGATGTCATCCAGTACATTCTCCCCTTCAACACCTGCAGAATTTAAAAAATTTAAATATACTTTTAAAATTTAGGTCTATGGAGCAAAATTATAATCTTAACCCTCTTGAGAGATGGCAGGGCTGATCTATCGGCCCAGAGTGTTATAGTGAAAAAGACAAAAAGACGAAAGCCTCGAGATTGGCTGGCTGGTCTTACAACCAGCTAATCAAATTGCTTCTCACATTTCTGGCTCATCTCGACATTTAAATGGCAGCTTCCATTGATATTTTGCTGTGTTCTGTCATTTTACATAATTTTTTTTTACCTAGTGACCCCTATAAATCCTTTAAAAAATATGTGACCTTGAAATATGCCAAAAGTCCTAACAGCCCCAGGGGAATATTTTTTGCAGTTTTTACATTGAATATCATTCAAATAAATACAAGGACATATTAGACTTCAACTATCATAAAATTTAACAAAATTCTGCAACTAAGACAATTTTAATTTAAGTGTAAAAAAAAATTGCACACATGGATTATGCAAACCAGGCTATCTCATTTGCAAAAATGTTGAGATTTCAGTTAGATTCATAAAGACAGTATGAGTTTATTCAATTCCCAATGTATACATAGTTTTAAATTTGTAAAGTAATTAGTTTATTTTTCATAAAATATTTTGCAAAATAAGTGAAGGGCTCTGTCATTTTGCCACAGACAGTCCAAAAAGGCTCCATCTCAAGAGGGTTCAGTCAAGCTAAACTAAATTACTGAAGTTTTGATCAAGTAGGTGACTTTAGCTACACAATAATCCCAGCAAACATTTTAAGAACAGTGTATCTCGTAAATAAATGGATATTATTGAAAAAAGTGCCCAATATTTGATAACTGCAAATACATAAATCTATACACCATCATCAAACACAGCTCATTCACTCTATGCTGGTGAGTTTCTTTCTTTTTTAAAAATTTTTATACAGATAGTGACACTTTTAAGCGTGGGCCCTCTCTTAGGCTTAGAGAAAAACTGGAAATCGCCTCGGCCGAATATCCATTTTGTTAAAAATGTATTTGGCTCTGAAAATAATACTATTTCTACCCTAACAGATCCAAAATTTATTTAAAAATTCAAAGATAGTCAATAAACTTTCATGTTAAAATGAGTGGCTGGGTTGCTTTGCGTTCTGAATTATGTCGATTTCAAACCGCTTGTTGATTGGGAATTCAACACCCAGCAAAACCAAGAAGAAGAAAAAACATAAAAAGCCCCCAATAGTTATACACCCGAAAAACTTGCTACTTCAACACAAACTTTATATTCTTATATCCACATGTTCGAGAAAAATTCAAGAATAATCTCCCCTAGGATGCACACGCATCCTCCCTAGGATGCACACGCATCCTAACATCTTTACACCCTTCCCAAGTGAAGTAATAAACACTTTTAAATGAAAATAGCTAGTTTAAGTCAGATTTGGTAAATAGTAGTCTCAAAAATCTTGGATTTAGTATTCCATGAAAATGTTTACCTGATTGGCCCAGATTTGAATAAGCTCCCCCAAAATTATATAAACTATTAATAGAATTTTAAAATATAGACCATTGATTTCCAAAGTGTGCAGCAGCAAAACTTTACACAATCTTCACTTTTTTCTTACATTTTTAATTCAATGTGAAAGGAGACCACATCTAGCAGACCTGGTGCAAACCTGAAACTATCTTAGTTATATTAATAAGTGTTTGTAGGTGGTTCTACAAACAGTTACTAGATTACACTCTATAATATTTAGGTTACGATTTCAAGAAAATGTACAGTGATCAACAGGCTCACATAGCCCAATATCAATAATGATTTGGGCGTGAAAAATCATCTACATATTTATTTAATATATAATATATTATATATTTACTATTTTGCTGTGAACATTAGGCTAATGTCAAATATGGGAAAAAGGCAAGGCTGAGGAATCTACATTCATTGATTTTGATTGAATTGTGAATAAATTAATAATTGATTATAATTGATACTTAATCTTAATTAACAGTACAAGTACAGTACTGTGTACAGACTATGACTAGTACTGGAACTAGTAGAAAGAAAGTTGAAAATAAATGTATTTTACAGACTTAAGTTAACATGGACACTTCTAAATAATTGTTTGCATGCAAAAACAAAAAAAAGATTATTTAATAATTTCAGTACTTGAAACAGTTTCTAAAATTTCTGTACAAGTACAGGGCAAAAGTTTGAGTTTGTGAGTGGGGGTGAGACTGAGAGGAATTAAAATAATGTAACATTTCCTTGTTGTACAATTAGAGATGCATCAAGTAAGCAGGCCTTATGACCCCTAGTTTAATGAATGGGGCCTACTTAGAATTGGTAATTTATAAAGATCCAAAAGAGACATTTGAAAAATAGACTGCAAACATTTCAATAACAACGACTGAATCGATTGAAGTTTCTCAATCTCAAATCTCAACCAGTGTAGCCAGCCTTTTCGACGTCTATTGTTAACTTAATAGGTCATTACCAAAAGGATAATCCTTATTTTACAAAAATCTGATTACCTTTTGACTTAAAGCTCATGATAATTCGCAGAAGGTGGAGAAAATTTAGAAAAGGCTAATGACAAATAAAAAGCGTTTTTTTTGTTTCCTTCATTTATCAACAAAGAAATTCACCTCAGTCAACAATGGCGACCGTTTTCTATTCATTTTACCAGATTTTTTTGACATTCTAAAAAAAAATAATAATGGTAGATATGACATATTTATTACTTAATAACTTACATTTATTTTATTTTATTGAATAAGAATTAAAATAATGGATCCTATAATTTTATTATTATACATATTGTACATGCTTATTACAGCAACAAAAAATTTACACGTTGCCGCTGGCTAATAACAAAAATTCAATTAGGCAAACCTACCAAAAAATGTCCAGCTTCAAATAATCACTAAGTTTTAATGTTGTATACCATTACGGTTGAAAAAAAAAAACAACAGAAGTTAAAATAAAAGTATATACATTTTTTTAATATTTATTTTTTTCCCCACTTCCACGAAACAAACTGCAGAATGCTGAAAATGCCGCCTCTAAATTTAAAGGAAAAAAGTATCAGCTGGGGCGGAACACCCCTTTCATTGTTTCATACTTCAAACCCTTTCCTACTGATCAAAGTAAAGTACTGAATTTAAATAACACCCTATGCACTTTCCCACCACTCATTCCGTGCTCCTTCCCACCTCCTATGTATTGCTTGTTTGCAGCCTCCCGTTTCGTACTCTTTCCCACCCTTAAATCCCGTGCTTGTTTCCTCCCTCAAATTCTATGCTCTTTCCAAACCTCCAATTCCGGCCTTTTTTTTCACTGTCCATTTGAGTCTTATCCTCAACACTCTCTTTTTTGTTTTTTGGCGTTGTTGTTTTTGTTCAAGAGATCTTAATTGCTTTAATAAATAACCAAAGTAGCATCAAAGTCAAATAGGCATATGGCATATAAAAATTCTCGTGTGTGTATTAGTTAAGAGTGCTAGTCTATTTGATGGAGGTTTTTTTTTTTTTTTTTTTTTTTTTTTTTTATTTTTTTTTTTTTTTTTTTTTTTTTTTTTTTTTTTTTTTTTTTGTTTTTTTTTTTTTTTTTTTTTTTTTTTTTTTTAATATAAATATAATCAATATTAGAAATATTCGAAATATTGGCTGGTTTCTACAATCTATTACAGGATAATTAGTGAACATTTATACTGCAAATTATTTTTTCTACTTTCTGTGAACTTCATTTGGGTGCCCTAATCTCTATGATCCTTTTAGTGTTAAATTTTTAATATATATTTTTCTTTTACTGACTTTGTTATTCCCATACAGGCAATTTAAAGTCTTTAAAATTGCAGCAAATCCAAAAATGAACATTGCTATTTGCATAAAAGCATCTCTGTGGCGCCTCACACTTCCTTCCGCTCAGACCTAACTTATGCCTTTCTTTCCGTGCTTGGATTCCCATCTGTTGTAGACAGTGGCATAGCGAAGGTGTTTGGCGCCCGGGGACAAGATTCGCGCCCGGGGACAAGATCCATTTTTAGCGCCCCTTTTTCTTTTTTTCAACTCTCAAACCCATTATTTTCATCAAAAAATAATATCAAAGCACATTTTGGCGCCCCTAACTAGCTGGCGCCCGGGGACATCTGTCCCCCCCCTGCCTTCACCACGCTACGCCTATGGTTGTAGATCTCTCCCCCCCCCCCC